TCTTGTTTGAATTGTGTATGCCCAATGTCTCTCTCTCTCTCTCTCTCTCTCTCTCTCTCTCTCTCTCTCTTTCTCTCTCTCTCTCTCTCTCCAACTGTCTTTCTCTACCCCCCTCCGTCTCTCACTTTTTCTTTATCTATTTCTATTTTGCCATTCTTTTTCTTTCTCTCTCTTTCCCAGCCCCATTCCTTTCTCCCCTATCCTCTCCCCCCTTCCCGCTGTCGCTCTCCCTTTCAATAATTTCGATTCTCTCCCGCTTCTTGTCTCTACTACCCTCATAAAAGCGTCTGTCGGGCACAACGTCACTGCTACGTCACAGTTGCCCCCACCGAGAGTGGAGACCCCTGGTGCGTGTGGCAGGTCAAGTGAATTTGGAATGGACTCTTCACCAGACCATTACCCTACTCACGACCTTTCTCCAATCGATCTGCCTACACGATTACAATGATTCTATACTTATTTGCATAATATAGAAAGAGATCTAGATCTAGGAAGACAATATCGCTCGATTTTCAGGTGGACTACGCCCTTCGCCAAGGACTCGGAGGAGTTATGTTCTGGTCGCTAGATTTGGACGACTTCAAAGGGAAGTCCTGTGGAAAAGGCCCCTACCCACTGATCAACGCAGTCAAGGATGAGTGCACCAATCCCTCATCGGGAGGACAGGGGTAAAATATTTGACTTAGTGTGTGTGTGTGTGTGTGTGTGTGTGTGTGTGTGTGTGTGTGTGTGTGTGTGTGTGTGTGTGTGTGCATGTTGGCCTCTGTGTGGAACTTATGTGACCTACTATGCACATTCGGGATCTCTACTCTTTGTTGGGCAATATATGGGTCGCCATGACGTCATATGCGCTAAAGGAACTTTTAATTGATTAAGAAAGGAATGTGTGTGCGTGTGTGTGTGTGTGTGTGTGTGTGTGTGTGTATGTGTGTGCGTGTGCACACGGGCGTATGTGTAAATGTGTGTGCGTGCCCGAGCGTGTGTGTGTGCATTACAGATTATTTGCTTACTTCGTTGCTTGTTTGCAGTACTTCTGCAGCCCCTGGAGCGACCTCCGCGCCGGGACAGGGGACCACTCAAATCCCCCTGGTCGTGAGCAGTGACGCGAATATACCCGGTGCTGGGTCTACTGCCAGTGGAGGTGAGTGGAGAGAGTGACATGACAAAATAACGCTGAATAGTGCCAAATACCTAGCGTCTGTTTTATAACCTACAAGGACTCGACTTCGCAGGGGAGGCCATGTCGTGATAATGCCTGATTTTAGAATTCTAAAGGCAGTGTTCTATTCTGAACTGTCCTCTGGGAAGCGTGTAGTTCGCGCTTTAAAGAGCGCTACAAAAGACAGTCTGAAAATTTCTCTGCACTTCAACACAAATCCTTTGACATATGAGAGCTTAGCACACCCACTTGAATAGCCCCAATGATATTGGGCCGAAATAAATATGAGGCTTTACGGATAAAATAAAAAGCAAAGTCAAGGAAACAATGGCATTAATAATAGTAATAACATAATTTAATAATGTACTTATAGAGGCACTAGCTATCCATGTATAGGTACTGTTTCAGCCTTAACAATGTCACGTACTTAAAACACTTTGTGTGGCCTCTCGCAGACGTCACAGAAATGTTCAGGAACCAGAACCTGTCAGACGTCATCCACGCTAACCCGTACAGTTGTGTGGAATACATCGAGTGCTCAAATCACTACACCATCGTCATGAAGCGCCCAAGTACCCTCCACTACAACGCCCAGAAGGAGACCTCTGACCACGCATACCGCACGCCCTGCCTGACTTCCTCTTTTACTTCTTCTGTGTCTACCGCGTCACATAGGATGATATAAGATGAGATGAGATGAGATGAGATGATTTGATAAACGTGACGAGACAAGATGAGATGAGACGACACGAGACAAGAGAAGACCGGACAAAATGAGACGATAAGTAAAGAGGCAAGACAAAACAAGATGAGATGAAACGAGATGCAACGCGAAGAGAGACGAGGCGAGATAAGATGAGACTTGACGAGATAAGTAGACAAAAGACGGGACGAGATGAGACGAGATGAGATGAGTTGGGACAACAAGACGGGTTCAGATTACACGGCCAGGGCGTAACAAATTGTGGCGTAATGGATTAAGTTGAAACAATACTAGAGGAGACTTACTTTGACAGGTCAACTGAAGACCAAACCAGACGACCTGAAGTGGGGAGCAACGAAGCGAAACTAGACAGAGCTCACCACGGAATGTCAGAGCTCACAAACGAATAATGTTCGCACACGCACAATGTGTTTGTCTGAGAAATGAGTGTGGGAGCTAGATCTACAGGAGAATGGAAATTTTAAAAAGAATTAATTAATCATTCAAAATAGAAATTGAGGACAGGGTAGGGTGGGGTAGTGGGGTAGAACATTAACCTAAGAAAATTTTGAAACCTTTCAAAGCTGTCTCATCTATTATTTTACGCACGCCGCTTTGTTTCTTCCCCAGTGACCACTCAGACAATGCCAAATACCAATGTACCGGGCACCACAGCTCCGACAAGTACGCTCTATTATATACATTTTTTAGTTCGTTTGAGTAGACCTTTTTAGGGGGCTCTCGTGGCCTAGAGGTTTAGGTGTTCGCCTCTCATTCAAAGGTCCCGGGTTCGAATCCGGGTAGCGACCGAACAATTTTCTTCTCTAAATTTGTCTCCTTTCACCTCCTTTCCTACGCTCTAGCAATGTTCTGTCGTCTGCTTTCGTCTCCTCTTTCTGCCCCCATCCCTTCACCTCCTTTGCCCCCTCCACTGGGCTTCTGATTCTTTCTGCAGCCTTTCTACTGCTATTCGCTGGCTTCTTCTTACTGCTGTCTTTCTGCCACACCCCTGATCTTCTGGTAGGAAAGATCTACACCTAGCCTTCTCGGACAAGGGCGAAAAATCTGGGAGGTCCTGTGTGCAAGTTGTGCACGTTAAAGATCCCTTGATGGTCTAAAATCGATAAGAGTAGGCTTCGGCCACCACCCGGGCAAAATTCAGAATTTCCTAACACCTGAAAAAGCTTAGTGTGTCCCGTGCGCTCATATAATGACCTTATGCAGTTGCGAGCGCCGTAAAACACTTACTAAAACAAAACAACAGACCTTTTTACCATTTTGCCTTTTAGAGCACAGTGGAGATTATTCTAGATACAGCGGCGGGGCGCCATTGGTGCAATTGGTGCAAGCGCTCCACCTAACCCTGGCCTTCACCCCCCCCCCCTTTTTTCTAATTGTGTATAACCAGTCAGTGCTCTTGGCTAGATCTACATCCTTGCGATCTGTCACCCGCTGGCTGCGCCAGTTTAGAGACAGACAGCGGGGATGGTTTATGCTCGTCACACCGCTTGCGGTAGTGTCTGTTGGGAGCAAGCAAAATCTTTGCACCAAAGTTATTTTTGTCACTGGAGAGAAATCTAGGCATCATTCGTCCCGCACAAGAAGAAAGCTGCATGAAACTGTTCTTCGCAGCACCAATTTGGTGCAAGCTAAATATTTGATCCAAGTTTCCGCGAGCCTATCTAGCCTATTACACTTACTAAAGGAGTCTGCTCCTCTACGGTAACTCAATGAAGAATGGGTATCGAAACTGACAGTTGTCTCCCTCTGTTGTGTATTAAGTCCTGGTGCAGCACGAAGTTATTAGAATTAAATCTTCTCAGATTGTGAGCATAGTGAGTTGTAGATCTAAGTATTATTTCACTTTATTGCAGCTTTCATGCGGTTTCATCTAGAAACAGTTGTAAATATCGATAGATGTAGATTACGGGATATCCCGCAGATTCTAATTGACTTTCTCTAGAAATCTTAACAGTAGCTACTAAGCCTATTGCCCATTTAGATCTAGCTCACTTTTCAATTATGCACCACCTTGTCTGCAATCCACGTGACGCCACTGTAGATGCAGAACGCTTGATTTGATGCTCGTCTCCGAAGGAAACTTTGAAACGTTAAATCATACATTTTCTGTATATGGGTTGTTTTTCTTTGATGGTCCCTCCAGGATTAGAACCGGCGTTGCCAGCATCGTAGTCCAATCCTCTCTTTCCCCAGTCGAGCTAACGGTACAGCCTTTTCATCTGACACAGTCAACAATTTGATTTATACAGCACTGCAACAACGCAATAATAAATTGTTTGATTGTTACAGCTCTACCCTCACCCCCACCCCCAAAAAAAAGTTAAAAATTGGTGAATTTGCGAAAATTCCATCAATAAGTAAATAGAGTATAGATCTAGATATTTCTGGAGATCTTCGCCAAAGAGTCTACACAATATAGATACTTTCACGTTAGAGGTACTTTTACTTTACTTTACTTTTTCCTCCTCTGTTTCCGTTAAGCGTCGGGTGAGATGCAGTTTTCTATGGTAGGCCAGCTCCGCAGCTCTTTCAGTTGTGATGTTATGTTTTCTTAGGGTTTCCTTGACACCCTCGATCAACCTTTGGCGTGGCCTTTCTCTTCCTTTATAGCCTGAGTGCTTGGTTTTTTAGGCTCTCGAGGCTAGCTGGTCAGGTGACATGCGTAACAGGTGGCCAAACCATCTTATCCTTTGTCTTTCTATGTAACGCAGGCAGGACTCAGTGCGGATAGCTGCTCTTACTTCTTCATTATTCTGCCTGTCTCGTCTTGTGATGTTAACGGTTTTGCGGAAACATTTCATTTCGTATGCGATGATTTTGCTTTTATGGGTTTTGCTTAAGGTCAAGGTCTGGCACTGATAACATAAGGTTGGTATGAATACTGGGGTGATAAGCTGTCTCTTTGTGTCCATGGAGATGTTAGGAGGAGATAGGAGGGGTGCAAGCTGGTAGGTGACAGCGTTGGCTTTTTGAGTTCGCATTTCTATTTCTCTGTCAATGGACCCGTTTTCATAAAAAGTGCTGCCTTCACCAGTTTCAGTTGTTTACAATTGACATGGATGTTCAGGGGACTATGGTTTCGGCTCACTTTCATAACTTCTGTTTTTGATGTGCTTATTTTCATGTTGAATTTCTCACAAGTGTTGTTGAGTTCGGCAGTGTTATTTTGGAGGCTTTGTTGGTCATGATGAATAAGACATTGGTCGTCTGCGAACAGAAATACATTTAGGCTTTCTGGGCTTTGGTTTGCGTCTTGCGTTATTGTGTCCATATATATATTATAAACAGGAGAGGAGATAGAACGCATTCCTGTCGTACCCCAGAGCTTATTTTGAACCAGTCTGTATTGCCTTCGTTCGTTCTTACTGAGCTTCTGCTGTTGGTATATAGAGCTATGACATTATCTAACATTTGTCGTCTGACGCCATACTTTTCGAGTTTTGCATAGTTTACTCTGTCAAAAGCCTTCTCCTGGTCTATAAAGACGATGTTGGATTTTTTGTTGTGTTCGATTGTTTTCTCGCAAATCTGTCGTAATGCGAATACAGCATCCGTGCATCCTCTTCCCTTTCGGAATCCAACCTGATCTTTGCTCAGTTTTCTCTCTACAATAGGTCTACGTTAGAGGTACAAACGAATTTAATGCATTTATAAGTAGGCTCTGTCCTGTGGTTTGGTACTATGTCATGCTGTGTTGAAAAGGTTAAGAGATGCCACGTAAGATAACGTAGTTGACGCGGGGTTATGCTCGAGTAAGTTATACATTTTATTACACAAAAAGATTTCATCACGTTATGGCTGAACAGGCCTGTTTGTGTGATGTCCCTGGTCCAAAAAAGTAATGCCATTGATTTACCAAAGGTTTATGGAATTTGCGAAGGTTAAAATCTCATTTTGACTATCTACCTTGCAACTCGACTCACGATGTGCCATTTTGAATGGGAAATGTTTGGTATCCAGGCAGATCACGCCGAACTGAGAGAACATTTTAAAGAAACAGAAATTTATGAATAAAAAAAGAATTAAAATAAACAAGAAATCACCCAAAATCAGACCTGGAACACTTTCCATTTGTTTGTTAAAACTAAGACCGCGATTACGCCCTTCTTTCTGCTTGAATTCTTAATACCCTACATCCCGTTTCAAAAACAGGCTGGCAGTATCCAACTATCCCGCCACTTAATTGGTCTGACTTGTGTCAGTGGAGATGTAATAATTTACCACTAAATTCCTTTGCCTTGTCCTTCTCTTAGCTCCCACTGCAAATATTTACATTCAACTTCACTACTTTGTCTATGTATTAGCTTTCCCTTTAAGTATTTACATTGAAACTTCGTTGTGGATTTTCCCCCCCCCCTCCCGCCACTTGCAAGCATTTACAACGAAACTTCTTTTGTCCATGCTTTGACTACCTCTGCAAAAGTTTACAATAAATCTTCTTTATATCGATTCTAAGCTCCAGCTCCTGAACATCACGTAAACCACACGGACAAGATCGCATGCAACCCTAACATGGACGACTTCCACGCAAATCCTGACGAGTGCGAGTCCTACTTCATCTGTACCGCCGGACTGGCTTACCACGTGAAATGTGCCCCAGGGCTCCACTTCAACGCCCAGACCAAGTACTGTGACTGGCCAGCCAACTCAAACTGCAAGGTCAGTGTCGTTTATTTGTTTGTGATGTGTTATGTTGTTTTCGCACTTTCCAATACATTATTACATGTAGTTGGAAGGAGACACTTGTTGATCCTACCCCATTTTTTCATCTTTTGTGTCTGTCTGTTTGTCTGGTTTTTTCCCTTCCACTAAATGGCCTTCATTATGTCAATGTACTTCTATGTACTCAAATAACAAACAAATAAACACACCAGCAAACAAATAAACACACCAGCAAGCAAACAAACAAACAAACAAAGTGCATCAAAGAAAAGGGAGGGAAGGAGTAATGCCTGTCTGCAATATGATGAAGTGGTACACTTTAAGACCCGAACGCACCTGTGTTCAGAAAGGCAGATAATGCTTTGGAACAAGAAACAGACAGACAGACAGACAGACAGACAGACAGACAGACAGAGACGGACAGACACAGAGAGAGAGAGAGAAAAAAAAAGAGTGAGTGAGAGAGAGAGAGAGAGAGAGAGAGAGAGAGAGAGAGAGAGGGAGAGAGAGAGAGAGAGAGAGGGAGGGGTGGGGGTGGGGGGGGGGGGCAAGGAAGCAAACAACTATGTTTGTTGGAAGATAGCCAGTAGGCAGCCAGCCAGCCAGATAGACAGACGAACAGATAAAATCAGATAGACAGACAGCCAGGTGGACGGACGGGCGGGCGGACGGACGGACAGACAGACACACAGATAGTAGATAGATAGATAGATAGATAGATAGATAGATAGATAGATAGATAGATAGATAGATAGATAGATAGATAGATAGATAGATAGATGTCGAATGTTAGAATAGATGGCCATGTTGATTTACGGGGGGGGGGGCAAAAAATGAATTGATGCTTCAACAGCTGGGTGTTGAATATATGAATACTTATATTAGTAGATAAGCAGATGGGTACTTCGATAAATAAAATTGCTGAACATATGAAAATAAAGAAAAATGTGTTGAACCTAGAAACGACATACTGCTCCTCTGCTGTAACCAATCGATTTCCGTAAAATATATACATATGATTTTTTAACTACAGAATGGGCAGATACTTTTTAGGTTCGGTAACAGACAGTGAAAAGTCTTTAAGTTTTTCGTTCTTGTCTTTCTTTCTCCTCGGTGTGGACACGCAGTTCGCCACGAGCGCCCCAGTGGTAACGACCACAACAGCACCGGTAACGGCAGCTCCGGTACAGACAACAGCTCCAGTACAAGTACAGACAGCAGCCCCCGTACAGACAACAGCTCCTCTAGTACAAGTACAGACAGCAGCCCCCGTACAGACAGCAGCTCCAGTACAGACAGCAGCTCCAGTACAGACAACAGCTCCAGTACAGACTGCAGCTCCAGTACAGACAACAGCTCCAGTACAGACAGCAGCTCCAGTACAGACAACAGCTCCAGTACAGACAGCAGCTCCAGTACAGACAGCAGCCCCCGTCTACACCCTACCTCCCGCTAATACAGCCAAACCCGCTGGTTCTTTCAGTAAGGTTATTTCTGTACAAACATGGAAAAGTGTCAAAGAATGTAAATGGAAAGGCTAACACTTCAAATAAATGCTTATAATTATTGTCAGGATGTGAGCTTCATTCCACAAACACTTAAATCTTTTTTGAAGTTCTGAGAACACCAAAGTAGAAGAGAGGGTACAGATCAGAACAATGACTTGAGCCCTCGTTATTTTTCAGTTTAAAATAATTTCATGTATTAGAAAAGAGTTAAGGAAACAGAACGAAATTATATTTGGATTTGTCCCTTGATGTCTTTATTCAAATAACAGTTTTATTTGGATGTGAAATGACGTTGTCGATATACTGAAGACACTGACCAAAGGTGTAAAAAGGTAGAGCTAAAACCCAAAGAAGTGACTACAGTAATAAAGTTATTTTTTAGCAGTCGAGCAAAATAGTTGTGAACCATGGTCGCCGACGTCTGTTTTATACGTGGCGCTAGAAGAAAAACAAGCAAACCAAATCTCCAAATGTCGGAAGAATATACAATCTTGGCTTTATCCCTTTTTTGCTGCTGTAGTTGCGGTGTGTTTTTTTTTTAATATTAATTTGTCCTCCTCATTTATCTTTGCAGATATAATGACCATTTGCGAAGACCTGCACTTGTCAGACGGTGTCCATGCTGACCCGACCAGCTGTAGCTACTTCGTCGAGTGCTCCAACCACGCCACTAATCGACTGTCCTGCCCTGGGGGTACTCTGTTTAACAAAATGATCCTGAACTGTGACTACCCACAACGCGTCCGAGGATGTCCTTAATAGAAGGGGCCAATATGGCCGCCGGTTGAGGAACACGACTTAATTACGACATGTGTGTGTACCAGGGGCGAAGCGTCTATATAATCAAATAATCACTGCTTCCCTTCCTAATTTTGAAACATTGTCGCTGTCAAATTCATCCTTAAACGTAAACCTCTTAAATTAAAAGTAAAAAGAGGTTCGTAATCCACAATGAGCATGCCTAACATTCAAAACGGTTTCACGGCCACATAAATAGCCCCCTCACCCCTCTCGGGCCACTTTGATTAAGTAAGCTTAAAGTGAGGCTGAAAGAATCTACCAATACAGTTGAGGGAACATGTGCATAGCAGTCATGGCTGTTTCATTGCCACATATACCCTGTTCACCCCTTTGGGGCCACAGTTAAAATCAATCACCAGCCCTGATTAAGTAAGCTAACGAACACTGGTCGAGTCTACCTCACAAATGTGAGGGGAACTAACTCCTAACAATCTCTTTACTGCTGCATGTGCTTGTTTTTTTTCCTCGACTTTTTACTGTCCTATAATCAGATCGTGACCTCGATTATGACACCAGCTCCTGGCCGCAAAAGGCTAACAAAAACAGCCAAATGTGAAATTTAAAAAATGATAATTGTCATGTTCTACCAAAGAGTTAGACTCTCTGGTAGATCTATAACATATAGATCTAGTACTGACATCTCTGCTTCTTTGCTTTGTGTTTATGTATTAACATCTAAAGTTAATTTGATTTTAGTTGGAACTGATATTTAATAAGATACTTTCCCGATTATTTTGGCGGTTGAACATACAATATGAATTCCGGATTTGTTTTCATTTACAACTCAGTCAGAGTCGCCGCCTCGAGTAAGATTCTAATGTGATATCTACAGGCCATATAGATCTATATCTGGTCCCGTTTCACTTTGATTACCCTGTCAAACAAGTCAGCCTTCGCCCCTGGTGTGTACTTAATACTAACAAAAGTAGAATAATGCTTGCAATCATACACTGTTCAGAGATCTAAGCTGTACGACTTACTGGACTAGAAAAAAGTAAACAGTTTAGGTGTAAGTAAATAAAAATTTGGAAATTCGATCCGTCCTTGTGTCATGCTTTGTTCGCCAGAAGGAGTAATGTATTTTTTAAAAGAGACATACGACAGTCCTGGCCGACATCGACACTCCCACACGACAGGTCCGAGGCAACAATGAACAGATAAATTCACCGACGGCGCTCAAACTGCGGGCCGACTGACGCTTGATCCCCTTACAATAATATTACACAGTGGTGAAGGATGTTTAGGAAGAACAAGAGAAGGAGCGTCCAAACTCCTCTTCCTTCCATAGCTTTGGTACTGTGGGAAAAGTTAATTCGACCCCCCGTCCACACACACACACACTTTTCCTACCGCCTTTCACAAAGTCCTCTTTATTACATGAAGTCACAACGATCCAAAATGAGGCTGAATGAAGAGCAGAGATCCTGGATGTGCGTACTAGGTCATGTAAATTCAGAATGGGGAGCACATATTATATACTTTTACCACATCTTATAGTATAAGGGAAACGGCTGGTGCGTGGTGCTGGGCTGTGCTTGGGCCTCTTTTTAATGCATGTGTTTTTACGTCCCCTCCAAAACAGTTTAGATCATTTAGAAGGCAGGCTTCGACCACCCTCCTATCAGGGCCAATCCCTGCTGATGGGTATACAACATCCCAGCATAAATAAGTTTCTCTACAAGGAATCGACCTCAGGCCATCTGTGTGCGAGACAAAGCACCTAACTGTTGCACCACTGACGACTGTTATTTGGGCCTGTGGGGACCGGTACGATACAACTATCACAAACGACACATAATGGACATTGTATACGTAGCGTGACTTGGTGCTGGACTCTTGGACAGATTTGCCGGGTTGAAAAGAGGGAGGGGAGGTGGTAGGTTGAAGGGACAGGGGTAGTCTGGGACTTTCTGGTTTGTGAGGATTATTGTATTTCAGCCAGGTAATATCCAGCTACCTAGATGTTCGTACTTACACAGATACTTTTGTATCAGCAGCTGGTCTTGGCAGTAATCGATTATGGGCTCGAAGTATTGACCTTGACAAAAACCCAACTAGACAAGTTGGATCGAGTTCAAAATGAAGCCATGCGCATCATACTAGGCTGCACCAGGGATACGCCGATTATCTGTATGAGGCATGTATTGGGCCTCATGTCAGTGGAAAACAGACACAAATTGGCTCAGGTCAGGGCGTACATGAGGGTGGCGGCGGATAAGCAACACCCACTTCACAAAGCCATTGAAGCAATCAAGGGAAATTGCCTAAAACGAGGAGCTTCTTGGATGGCTGAGGCTGAGAATACCATCAAGGAAGTCTGCCGACTGGAAGATATAAAGCGGGGTGAAAAATTGCTAAAGATGAATGAGAGACAATAGGAACATTTTGAGAAGGTAGTGATTACGCTGAACAGAGAATGTAGAGAGTGGTCGCATGGGGCGAAAGATGCTGAGATACGACAACTGATTGAAGAAAACTCACGCCACGGAGATGTCGTTGTATACACGGATGGATCTGTTAAACGAGGGGGGAAATCTGGATGGGGCTTCTCAGCAAAAGTGAGTGGCAGGTCGGTGCAGGAACAGCAGAGAGCATACGATATGACAACATCTAGCATGAGAATGGAGATAGAGGCAATCACTCAGGCTCTCAAATGGGTCACAACAACTTGACAAGCACATGTGGTCTTTGTCACAGACTCTCAGGGCACTTTGAGGAAGATTGAAAGTGGGAACCTTAAAGCTGAATGGACAGAGCTCCTGACGAAGACAACACTGAAAAAGATCAAGTGGATCTTCACCCCGGGCCATGCTAGAGTCAAGGGCAATGAGCGAGCTGATGAGCTCACTGGGAAAGCAAAACCAGAAGGGAAGCTGTGCCCTGACAAACATGAAATTGTAAGGTCAGTCAAGAAAAAAAAGAGAAAAAGAACAAGAAGAGACGGAATACCATCATCTTGAGCGACTTCGTGAGCTTGGAATTGGATTGGGCGCCTGCAGAAGTTCAAGACTGAGTGGGAGGAGCAGAAAGCTATGGAATCAACCATTGTTTGGGACCGTCAGCATCTACACACTTCGAGATTTGCTTCTTCAGGGGACGGAGCGCTTATGGGAATGCTCCTCGTGCAGTGATGTCGGTCCTTCACACAAAAAAAAACAAGTAAACTTACACAGACAGCACACACACGCGCGCGCGTGCGCGCACACACATACACTCACACACAAATACACACAAAAACACACGTACACGCATACACACACAAACGCACTCAC